CTGCTGGTAATTACCATAAACAATGTCAGTATTTTTAGTGTCATCTTCTCTGAATGCCTGCCTGCCTTATAAACTACTGTAACTTGAGTTAAATGAGTGAATCTGCTGAAGGCTCATAGAGCAGTGTGATCAGAATGGTGGTATAGGAGCATAATAAAAATCACAGAAAAAGATGTCTTCGTATATCTCTCTCTTTGAATAGCCTCGGCTCCTCTGGGAGAGCTCAGCTCAGTAGAGCTGCTCCATTGCCCTACATCTGCTCACACTCACTGCCAGCGTCATCTCTGTGTCTCATCCTCTTTATTCCACCTTCATTCCCTCTGTTTCTGTCAACATTCTCTATCTGTCACACATATCGTTCCATTCTATCAGGCTCGTTTCATCTGTGCCTACTGGATCTCTGAAATTGTCCTTCGTCTTTCCCCTCTGTCTGTGTTCCTAGGGTTATCTGATATGGGTCTTTAAAGCTTGATATGATGCAGATGAGTTTGACTTGAGGCTGCAAATAAAAAGCATCACAAAAGCTGGACCGCACCTCATGAATTCACCTTTTAGACTCAAGATTTCATTCTGTATAACCTTTAATCAATTCAGACATATCAGACGCAGAGAACCAACCGCCCACTGTTTAGGGAGTTCATGTGTTCACAATAATATGCCTCAATCCCAAACTTAAAAATATTTTTTTGCCTTCTGCCTCAGATAACTTGTTTCTTGAAGGATATCTTTGCCATTTGTAGACTTTTACAAATAAACATCACAACAAACATTTTATCCCATTTCAGGAAGCCATCAAAATGCTCAAAGGTAAGCCATACAAAAAAACTATAACTGTTATGACTAAAAAATAAACCATGTGATAAAGTACAGTTATTTAAAAAGTGACAAAAGGCATCAATCAGAAATCTTGATCAGACAAACGACTACAGGGGCCGGGAGACAACAAAAGGATAACATTTCAGCCCAGTGAACATCAAGACTGGGACTCTGTTAAAGCCTAACAAACGTGAAATTATGATGATTGGACTATCCACTGGGCCTGCCCAGTATCTCTGCCTGTCCCGGGTCCCTGTTTTTCAGCCCTTGAGACCAAGGTAGTGGATGTCTCCATGAAGGCTGATGTCAATTTCAAATTTTGCTGAATTGCAATTTTGTAACACTCACAACAGAAATTACACAAAAACTAAATCAAATACATTTAGATTTTTGTGAAGTATCTGCTTCAATCCATAACATATTCCATCCATTTTAATAAAATGATTCATTATAGTTTTATTATATGTCCCTTTATTGTGAAATGTTCTAATTAATAATCAAAGTCAGTAGTCACAAAAGTCACAACCACAGCACAACTATGACTAACTTATTCGACAGAGTGTTGCACAAGATACAAATGTTGTGTACCAGAACGGAAAGTGCAACATCCTCACCACAAGAGCTTGGTGATGAAAAAACATATCTGCACATACACCATACTCCTTATCCCTCATCTAGGCTACTGGCCATGTCCCTCCCTATACAATTCTACATGTGATTCAATCTTTTGTTTACCTCCAGTTTTAGATAACAGTTGTTCAGCCTTCCTCATGCTTCCATTTGTTCCACTTTGGCGGAAAAGCTGCCTGAAGCTTCACAGTGGAGTCTTATTGCACTTCACAGTGCACAGCAAAGTGGAGAAGCCAGCCAGTTGGAGGGAACAGACAGATCCTATCTGTAGCTGCTCGTCCTCCAACGTAAATCTGTCTCATAACTGATTAGAAGTAAAGAATTTCACCGTGTCCAGTCTCTTACATTAGTTACACTTAGGTGAAACCTGAAACTGGTAAATGCTTACTCTAATCATCCCTACTATTCCCACTGAGCATTAAAATGTCCTCTCCTTATTGTGCTCAAAATGTGAGTGATGGATAGGGGGGGGAAAAACCAGTTCACCTTGTATGTAAAATTACTTTGCTTGATCTGAAGTAAATATGAGGCTATATAAGTACATGAGTACATGAAATCATTTTTATTTCACATCTTTGATGGAGGACATTGAAAAAAGAAAATTGAACTGAAAACACCACTATGTTGGAAGATTATTTACTTGATTAACTCAAACAGCTGAAGGCTCATTAACTTCAGGTAAAGGTACAATTTTGCACATAGCACAGACAGTGGGTTATGTCCCTCCACCACTTAAAACCTGTTGAAGTATTTATATGGACACCCGACTATTGTTTTAAGATAGATCTGACTTTTATAACTTATCTGTTAAATGCTTGAAGAAGTACACTGAGCCACCTGATCAATATCCTGGATGTAATAACAATTTCATGAATAATAACAAATACTATCACAATTACCACAACCACCACCGCTACTACTACTGCTGCTAATAATTAGAAGAACAATAATAAAAAGTGGCTACAATGAGAACTATATGAAGTAATTTTTTTTAACATGTAAGGAAATTCCTGTATGCACATCAAGAGACTTCCTCCAGTCTTGCGCAGCATATTGTCATGTTGTTGATTTTACTTTTACTGTTTGTGTCTTTCACAGTCTATGGTGCAGAGAGAAATTAGGAAACTTTGTGTTCATCAGACCTGGTTGATCTAGAGTGAAGATTTTATAGTCAATCTTTTTCATTAAAGGTCCAGTGTGTAAGATTTAGGTGAAAGGGAACTATTGGCAGAAATTTAATGTAGAATAATCCTCATGATGTTTTCACTAGTTCATTTCATCTAAATTGTATGAACTGTAGTTTTCTTTACCCCAGAAAAAGCTCTTTATATTTAAATACTTTATATTTACATCGAGGGAGTCCTCTCTACGGAGGCCGCCATGTTTTTTACATTAGTCCAGACTGGACAAACTAAACACATTTTGAGTTTTATGACAACTAAAGGCTACCACAGGTTCTTTTTCATGTTTGGAAGGAGAGGGTGAGGTGAGGGGTGTTCAGTTGCAACATGCAATTTCAACACTAGATATCATTAAATTATACACACTGTACCTTTAAATGAAACAGAATTTGCTTTGTTACTGTTCACACTTGTGACTTTTATGTAAGTTTGAATGATTTACTGAACTGCTTTTATTGTTTTTTTACATTGCATGTCAGCTATTTCAGAAGTCTGTTAAGCAACCGACATAATCTTCAGATTTAACCAGCTTTTCAAAATATGAGCTCCGTAATTTCGCTCAGTATAAAGCAGTGTACCAACAAAACGAAGGTTGTTACTTGGGGGCGGCTGTGGCTCAGCGGGTAGAGCGGTCGTCTGCATGGACAATGCCAGTCTTCCCCATTCCACCAAAGTGTCCTCATAGAGAAAAGTGCTGCACATAGATGGACTGTATGAATGAGTGTGTGAATGGGTGATCGGCAAAAACTGTACCGTAAAGTGCTTTGAGCAGTCATCAAGACTAGAAAACCGCAATATAAATTTACCATTCTTTCAATACAATTTGCCGTACAGGGAGTGATTCTGTGAACGTTGTTAACATGACGGTGAAATAAAAATGATTCAATTATCAAAATAATCTGGGAGCAAATTTGACAGGCGGTGTGACCCAGTTGCTGACCACTGCTGTAGTTTATCTGATGAAGTAGAAGAAGACATGCACTTCCCTGGGCCATTTACAATACACATGCCACAAAACTATAAATAGCTTTCATGTTTTTGGTTCCTGGATATTAATTGTAGCTAGAGTACATTGAAATGTAAATTCAATATTCCCAAAACAAAACCGAGGGAATTCCCTGTCCAAGTCACCGCAGAGAGAAGAATCCATTGGAATGATGCAGTCCTCCAAACAGCATCCATCATACAGTATTAGACGCAAATCTATAATGTATGATGCCAGTTTGATTGGAGAGCCACAGGCCACTGGTGAATTAGAGCATGCATAAAGTGCACAGCAGGGGGACGAGTGACAGTCACCACAAGCTGCATTCTATCTGTATTTAAATGTTTCAAATCAGTCAATTTGCATGATTTTCCAATTAATCTTTCTGCTTGATATTCCTCAAAATGTAATAGTAAAAAAGGAAAAATCCACTGTGGAGTCTGGCTAAGTGACCTCATACTAAATAACACTGGTACCACCAAGTCTGCATCCTTCATGGCTGTACTATCAGTACAAAATCATATTCATAGCTACTTGATAGCATGTCTGCTATTCTGTTTGTTGAAATTTCCTCATCATGTGTGCATGTTGTATGGTGCACATTGTTGCACATACTACATAATCTACTAAATCTTAAATTATCAAAATATATGTTTAAACCTTGGATCTCAAAGAGTAAAGGGAAAGCTGCTAGTCTGATCGAATCTTTCCTTTTTTCATAATATGAAATTCATTTGTGTTTGTGTATGCGGTCCTCTGTTAGAAGTTAATATAAAAAAGAGTGTGTTATGTTATTGCTGTTATTGGTGTCTGTGTGTGTGTGTGTGTGTGTGTGTGTGTGTGTGTCCCTATCCACTTCACTGTGTCCATGTTTAAGACACAAATGTCTAAACCCAGTATATGAATATACAGTATATTATCCATCTGTTACATACCAGGTTTTAATAGGCTTTTGGGGAAAATGAATACATAAGCCTACTATACAAAAGCAACATACAGGAAATAGGCCCTTTAAAAAATACATGGTATTTCTTTACTGCAAATTCAGCCATATAAGAAGGTTACAGAATGATACAATGTCATGTACACTCAAGTTTGTATTAGAATAAAATCACATAAATACACTTTATGCAAATGTCTTTTACATAATGAGTGCATTGCGTCTTCATGTTGACCTTATTCTTTTTTTTTTTAAACAATTGATTAAAATAGTAAAGTCATAGTAATGTGGTCTCCATATGAAGACCCACTTCATCTGTATGGTGATCTATAGAAGCATAATGAATTGTGGTGATACTTATACACAACAGCACCTACACGACTGCATCCTCACGATGCTGAAGTAGTCTGCTGATGAATCAGGTTATGAATGAGAAGCATGAACCCACCTCCACGAAATAGAAACAGGGCAGCAGGCTGACACTGTCTTTGGTCAGGGTCCCCTTCTCTCTTGCAGACATGGTCAGGCCTCGCTCCAAATATCCAAACAGACACGAGATGCGACGAGGGAAGAAAGGCTGAGCTCTTCCAGGCTTCGTGCCGGGATCAGGAGCGCTCCATGCCGCCGTGTGGACGCGGATGCCAACACTGACGGTCGCACGGTATCCAGTACGCACTCCCGACACTCGGATCTGCACGGCCTCTCAAGCTCTGCTGGTGAGAAGCACCGACCCGGTTCTGTGCACGTTCACCGACGAGCTGTCAGGTAGGGACCGGAGCCACACATAGACTGTGGAGCCACACCGACGGAGGGAGGAGGAGGAGGAGGAGAGGGAGCGCAGGCGCACTGTGGAGTAGTTGACACTCGGGACTGATGCGAGTGACTGCAAGCAAACATGTCAGTGTCACATTGTTTTCTGTGTCTGTGTCGCTTTGGCACATGCTGGGGAACATGCAGGCAACATCTGATCATTTGATGTGGCCCCATACTCACAGGCCACGTGTCACGGCCAGGTGGACTGACTTGAATTCCACTATACCAGCAGCCCATGTTTATGGAACTGATGAACACCACTGATTAGCACAGGGACATTTTTTTAGCCCCAAGTGTCTCCTGTCTTCTCCTAATATTCAACATGACAACTACACAGCCATACAAAGACGAAGAAGAAGAAAAAGACATTTCTGTCTAGCAATACTGGTCACAGTTGTTTAATAATAGCCATTCACCAGTTTGATTCTCATGCCCAATACATTTTAACCACTCCTCCGATATGTCTCATGTTTTATTCCTCTCAAAATTGAGTAGAAACCATGTGGACAACCCCCAGTTGTGGACGAAGGCTAGTGAAGTAAATTATTCAGTTTATTTAACAAGCATATTGGATATTATTATCATATATCACATATATATCATGGTCATGCATTATTTTACAGTTATAATTACATAGACACACACAGCCTATAACCCAATTTAGTCCCTCAACATAAAGTTATTTGTTTCCTATCTTTATTTATAAGGACAACATTAATCATGAGCTCTGTGAATGTGTTTGTCTGCCTGCAGTCTTTTGATGAGGATTGCAATAAAGTGACAGGTTAACATTGAATTGTAAGAAGCGTAAATGACAACAAGTGCCACAAGATCAGCATGCACGCCATCCCAATCACACAGAGCAACAGGGGGAAGCAAAACATTGATGCAATAAACTGAATAAACCACAATGAGCAATACTGTTATTAAGCTTTGATCGTGCAGTTTGTAAGTTGGTAAAATTGAAATAACACCACAAAGACGTGAGATAGGATTGTAAAAAATATTATCACCACATTGTAAAATATTAACGTATTTGTTCATATTTACCCAAGCCATACTAAGCAGACCATGTAAAAAAGTGTGGTGAACACATATACACTCACATGTCAATATATGACATGAGATTTTCCAGTAGACATTGAGAATCATTGACCTCTGGCTTGATAGATATGGTGTGGGTTTATTGATGCGTCCTGAAACGTAGAATAGATCTGGGATAGTTATATTAACTCCAATTGATCGTAATGCTGTTCATATTTTACACAAGTGCTCATGAATATGTCAAGTCAATAGCTGTATCTGTGTTCATAACACCATACAGTCGAGTGCTAATTAATGTGTGTCACTGTCAACATTTCAGTGTGTGTTGCTGTGATGAAGGAAGCTGTCATCACGGAGTTACAGAGGTGTAAGTGCTCAGCTCTGACACACTAGCTGCTTGCCAAGGTCTCTTCCCACTGCTCCATGACTGTAAGTGGACACCACGTGCACCGTAAGTCACTGTGTGTAATAAGACTCTAATTACTACCAGTGGAACAGATACAGAGTGAGGCTCTAAAGTCCAAAAACATGTTACATATCAAAGTGGTTTAGGTCAGATACAGTGTGTCTGACATACAGAGTGCTCTGTATTTTACAAGTTTAGTAAAATGCTTCATCTTAAGATTCATATTGTTAGGAAAAAAGTAAACAAAATATCTTATAATACATAGAAAATAAAGCAATACTCGTCTATAGTAGAACGTTTGTCAGACACATATGTAAAACAATTAGGACTTAGTTGATTTGTAAGAACACACACACACATTTGCTGGTATAAATACAAATGCATGATGCATCTCTACCTTTTCTTTGGCTGTCAATCATGATGTCTCAGCACATTAGTGTGATACGAACTTCCCAGCAGAGGCTTCTGCATTGAGTCTGGGGTTGGTTATGTGAAGGATCCCTGTCTGCAGTGGGGGGGTACTGGACTACTCCACTTTTTAGTTTGGCCCGTGTCCCGTCCACTAACATGGAGGGGATGGGGATTTGGAACCTGTGATGCAGCCAGCCACCAGGGCCTATGGAACTGTTTTGGTTTCACTTTGGAGAGCTGTCATGTGTAGTCTTTATATACATGTACAATCTATCTATCTGAGTCCAATGCATCAGTCACAAAATAATCATCTGTTTTGGCTGGAACTCTTATCAAGAGATGCTGTTTAAACTTCATGAGGACTGTCAGTCAGGGCAGGCTAAATGACAGCTGTCTGTATAATACAATAGAGTACAGAGATGGTTTAGGCATATAGCAGCAATTTTATATTTTGAAAATAATTTGTAATTTATATTTAAACGTAATAATGTCGCCTCCTGATGTGTTCAAAGTGGTGAGTTTGATTTGCTTCTGTATGTGTTCTGTTTGGATGGTTCACCTTATCTCTGACGGTATTTGAAGGCAGCACACACGTCTGTCCAGCAGAGACCGACCTGAGCCGCGCATGCGTGGCAGCAGCGGAACCCTCGTGCACGCAGCCCCATGGTATCCTGTAGCCTCATTAAAACAAGGAATATGCGGAAAAGTGTTGCAGGAGGAAACTGAAGCCGCCGGGGGACCGCAGGGGATCTGCACACAGAGGACAGTGAGGCCGTCCCTCGGTTTAACTTTGTCTGCTGAGGCTGCTGTTTCACCCGCTGAGACTCCGGAGAGGAGGCAGCCGAACTCCTGGAGCTGTCCGAGGTAGGAGTCTCTCCCCCGGTGTCCTTCATCTGAGCTGCAGCCTCTCATCTCCTCCGCCACCGGCAGGAAGTGCAGCAGCGTGTCCCTCGCTGAAGACACCCCTGTCTGTCGTCAGGTTAGTGATCATTGTAGAAATAACTGCACTAACACGTGTGCTTTTCTCTTCCTGCCTGCATCTCTGATCTGTAAACTGAACTGAACGAGGGAAAACACGAGTTTGTTCTACAGCTGCAATAACGTGACACTCTGCATCTGGAAGTTTGAATGCTGAATGTTGGAGCTGGACACAGGACAGTAGCCTATAGAGCAGAGAAGCTGAGTTTGTTCAGACTTGGATTTGTGTTTATATATCCATGTATTTGAAGGATAGTTCTGTGGGGCATTGTGGGCATTGGAAGATATTTAAGAAGCACAGAAAGTCTTATGTAAATGTGCTATGAGTTGCATCTTGGGAAGTGTAGGAGCCAGTGTTTTAAAAGTCTGACTAATACATGGGGACAAATGAAAAGAAAACAAAAAACATGCAAACAGCTAATGAAGAGAACTTGAGTGGTCATTGTTGGTAATGATGGCGTGCACACAATTGCAAAGACAGCCCTCCATCTTGACTGTTTTCTTCTGCCTTGTGGCCCATTGATGCCACTCTCTAATGGATATTTAGGTCCACAAGCCTTTGGTAATAATAGGACTGTTTTACTGGTTGGTTCTGAGTGGGATTGAGCAGGTTCTTTAACATGTTCCTTACAATACATGCAGTCTGGCTCTTTCTTTATTGTATAGTTGTCACAGCCCATTAGAAGATGTTGCAGGGACCTAACCTACATTATCTCTTCATCATAGGCACTTTACATAGTAATGTCAAAAACAGACACAATTACAGAGAAACCCCCCAAAATTCTCCCTTTTAACAGGAAGAAATGACCATCTGCCTCGACAGGTTGTGGTGAGCGGAGAAAAATTGGAAAGAGAGGAGAGGTGGGTGAAAAAAAAAAGAGAGGAGAGAAAAGAGAGATGGGACAGTGGTGTGAGAGGTGTCAGATCCGGATCCTGCAGGTCTGGAGTCAGAGATGATTAGGGTTGGGTACGCAGCGGTACTTTTTTTCTATACTTCGCTCTCTCTGTATAACAAAAATGTCCAACCAGGGTTTTTCCTGCGTAGAAAATTGAGAGGCAGTGAAAAAAATAACTATAATATTACTACTACTAATATAAACAAACACAGTGGAGCTGTGCATGGCTCCCTGGGTGTTTGCCTTTGTGGAGCTGTGGCTGAGTGCACTCTGACAGACTGGGTCTGTGCCCTGGCACCATGCATGTCTCCCTGGGTGTCTGTGCCGTTGACTTGCCATCAGTCTGACTGTGCACTGAGTAGAAATGAGCTTGGCTTGATCTCTCTCGCTCTTTATCGAACAATACTCTCTCATTCACTCTCACTCACGTATACGTACAGTACTCTCTCATCCAGATGTGCTTGCAGGTACCGAAATTTGGCACTGATTGATTTAATGTGAATCGGTACCTGGTAGTTTCGACTTTATTCTTAAAAGTAGAGAAAACTGTACCGAACCCTAGAGATGACACCACAAAGACAACTGTGGTTTAGGTTAAACATAGACTTTACTTACAGTCCAATGATCATACACCAGAAGTGTACTATATAGTCCACTACATGAGTGAGTGAGTTCACCATTTTATAGTGCTCTCTGAATGTAATGAATTTATGGACTCATTGTTCCCCAATGCATCTGGAAAAGTAGTGCACAACAGATGCTCAATAGCCAAGCAATATATACCATCATGCACTATGATCTGTCAGCTGACCTGTCATACAAATGGGAATATAAGTGGCACAGTTTGTATTAACAAGCATATGTTTACCTTTAAACATGGTCAATAAACATGTTTTTACCCTAAAAGTATTTATACGAAGTGTAAAATAAACTTTTAAAATGTATTATGGGATTTTCCACCGGTCTACGGTGTTGATAGGCCTTTCAGGATAATTATGTTATTGTTATTGTACAATATATGGGCATGACCGTCATCATTTTAGCTAACCTCGATATTGCCCGTTTGCTAACTGTAGTGACCAGAGTTCGATCACGTCACCGCCCACCTATCAGAGAGTTCATTCAATCAGTCAGTGTGTTTTGAACCACTATATGGAAGTGGCTGCAGACTAATGAGTGCAGGGATCTGAGAGGATCATCTGTTTTACCTAGAGAGAGCCACATGTGAGGGATCCCTCTCCAATATTTACAACTTTGATTAGAAGAAACAGATTTTAACATAATGGTGATGTGTCAATGTCAAAATTATTCATAGAGAAGAAAATGTCTGATAAGGATGAAGGGAGCAGCAATTACAATTGCAATGGAGGAGTTATTGCCAGTAATGGTAGAGTATGTGAGTAGGCATATTGTATATCAAGCAGTCTTGTATTTATAGTCCACGATCAGCTGCCATCACGATCCACAATCCACTATTACGATCCATGATCAGCTGCCACCATGATCACGGTCCACCACCACTATCCTGATCTCTGATTCGCAATCCACCATCATGATCTATGGTCCACGATCACAATCTACGACCAACCTAGGGATATTGGGATTAACCGGTTTAATGATAACCGCGGTTTGATAACGTCACAATTTCATAACGTCACGATTTCTTAACCGTAGGAATTGTAAAAATCCCCACTGAAAGGTAATAGTATAATAAGGACACGAGAAATGTAGCTTGAACCAGGACACGTTTCGTTTTTAAAAATTTGTCAAAATGTCGTTCCCATAACAGAACAACTTCCATTGCTGACCCTTCAAAATAAAACTCCCACACAGATACACAGCTTATGACAGGAAACACAATGACCAACCTTCCACAATAAGGAAACGAACATAACATAAATAACATTTAAATATATATATGTTACACTATAAAAAATAACTGGATAAAATTCATGATAATAAATATTTTAGTTCATAAGCTATATTATTAGCTATCTATTAGCTATATATTGCTTGTTGTGAGTTTTTTTTTCTTCTATTGTATCGATAATTGTAAAAACTGTGAAGTCATGATATTTCCTTGGTCAATCGTGGCACCAAAATTTCATATCATGACATCCCTGGACCCACCATCACGATCCATGTCGTGGACGCAGCAGCAATGCTGGATCAGCAAACAATAAGGCACAAGGAATCCAGTGAAGAAGTCAAGTCAGTAACATGTATTGAGGAGACATTAATGTGAAAAAGAGGGATGAGAGGAAAGAGAAGCTCCGTATGTCACTTGACTATCTGTTTACTTTCCAGAGTTGTTGGTTTGACAAGATCTGCAGTAAAACCCACAGCGGATTACTTTTATCGTTTGTTTTGGCGTGAGTTAATTGGATTGAGCTGAATTGTGTTTTGCTTGTGTGGCAGCCGAAACAGACTTTCTAGATACATTGATTGAAGTCTGGACGCTGAGACTGTGGGGCACATAAGGTGCCTTAAAAATGACAATAATTGTTTATCGCTGTTATTTGTGGGACAATAAATCGTCCAACAGAAATAGTTATTGTGACAGGCCTAGTCACAACTTCTTAAGCAGTTGTCACGGAGGAAACAAAGCTTTCTGAACTACTCAACCTAAATCTACTCAGTGTTGAAACCATTGATACAGTTAAAATGACACAACAAATGACAAATCTGCTGACCAAACCCTTAGTGTTGCTGTTCGTGGGATTAAATCTTAAACCATAATGGACTGGTCAGATTACAAAATATCTGAATGCTTTTTAAAAAAAAATGTTTAATGAAGTTTTTGTGAGGAAACATTTTAGACTGATGAGGGCCTCCACTTTCACTTTCAGCTCCCTGGTTTCACTATGGACCTACAGAGCCATGGGGAAATCAAATAAGTGAATTCAAACTGATAACAGAAAGCTGTTCTCTTCTTGTAGACTCATGAAGACAGTTTTCTGGCAGGAGAGGTGCTTCTGAGGATAGTGAAACCAAATCAGAGGTGAGATTGAGTGTGTCCTGACACATCTAAAAGTAATATACATGGCACTTTAAAATTGTATTTGTTCATTGTATTTGTTCTTTAGTTAATGGTCTTTGTAATTAGGATTAGAGACATGATGTTGTTGATTGGCAGTTTCCTGCTGTATGCAGATTTCACATCAGAAATAAAACCTTGCAGTATCCAGTATTTTAAAGGGTTTGTTGCAGTTGTATTAGCCTTCAGCAAAGCCCTTGTGGGATACCAATATTATACATCCATGCAAAAGTGTTCAACTAGAATAACATTCATGCCACTTCTACTAATTTGGCTGTTGTGCTGTGTGTAATGAGGGCAGGCAGACTGCTTCTCAGCTTGATAAAGGTCATTAGAGTTCAAGCTGGGATTGCATGCTGTGCTGCTCTGTAAATACAGTGTGTGTGTGTGTGTGTGTGTACACATTCAGGGTGGATTGTAGGACTTGTATTGCAAGGTTTTTACAGCGGGCACACTTTGTCATTTTGTGTAAAGGGCTTGTTGTCCATCATTATTGATGTGATATAAATGAATTGTCCTCCGGGAGAAGGTCACTGGTTTGAGCCCCAGCTCGTCCAGTCTGCATAAAGAAGCAGCACAGTAACCCTCTGTGATTGTGTGTGTGCTTGACTTGTAGTGAAAGAGAAAGATAGACAGACAGGCAGGCAGACAGATGATAGTCCTTTCTGATCAAGGCTGTCAATATTCTAAATTTAGAGTAATCGAATTGTACAAAACAAGCATAAAAAAGCTAAGAGGCATTTGATTTTGAAAAATGATAGCTGTCTGCTCTGTTAGTTGTTGCATTGGCCTGGGACACTGCATTGTGTGCACTGCATGTCGAACAGGAGACACACTACGTCACTTTCAATATTGAAAATGAAATGGAGGGGAGGCAGTAGCGCAGCATGGACGGAAGTTGGAGAGGTGCAAGTTCACCTCCTGGGCACTGCGGAGGTGCCCTTGAGCAAGGCACCGAACCCCCCAATTCCCCCACGGGCGCCCTCATGGCTGCCCACTGTTCTGTGTGTGGTCACTGTGTTCCGTGTGTTCCGTGTGTTCCGTGTGTTCCGTGTGTGCTCCGTTCACACGGATGGGTTAAATACAGAGGTCAAATTTCCCCATGTTTGCATGTTGCATGCTGTGTGTGGGACCAAAAATAGGAATCTTAATGTAGGTCAAGCTGATATTAGTGACTAATTCATCAACTGTGTGGAACTCATCTCATCTCTTGACCAATACTTTGCACCTTAATGTGTCGGTACTGTATGTAAGATTTTTAAGTGATGCATTTTATTTGGGTTCAGTCATTGAGAAATGACAGGTTCAAACACAAGGGAATCATTCTACACTTTTTTACATGGGACTAATTTAAGGGTTTTAAGGTTTCGACTTTTATAATATTTCATTGTTCATATGAGCCACATTCCAATGATAACAAAAGTGCTTTGTAATTTACATCCCATTCAGTGTATAGTTTTAGAATAATCAACATAAATACATAATTTCCATCCTTCTCTGTTGAAACCAGAACAGCACTTGTGTACATTTACAGCTAGTATAACGCAGACAGACAGATACACCAGACCAATGGACCAACTAAAACTTTGACCTGATGATGAAGGTGCTATGGAACTGTCAGTGGATTACATTAATGATTTGAGGTGTATCCTCCGGGGAACAAGAATGTCTCCTCTGTACTAAATGTTGTCCCAATCCATCAAGTTGAGATATCTCAAGATATCAGTGAAAATTTAAGCCAGCTGGATGTGCTGGAGGAGAAAACCTGCAATCAATAATATCCATGAGATGTCTAATTGGGGACCATACATTTATCCACAAAATTTAATAGCATTGCAGTTTTTGGTGGGATATTTAACTCTGGAATGAAATGGTTGAGTCACTGATCAATATTTCAATTGCACGCTCTGTGGTTAGAACAGGTTTTCCCAATTTAGAAATTATAGATTGAACACTTGATATAAGTTGGTTCCTAAGAACAAAGCCCATACAAGAGAGAAAGGACAAACACTTAGTGAAACTCCAAATTTAGAAAGATACAGAATCATATCCAGTATGCACACTGGGAAGGCTCCAGGAAGTAGAGGGAATAAATGGTGGGTTCGATTTGGAAAAGCACCAAATTACCAATTCTGACTCCTGGCCATCAGACTTTTTCACCCTAATCTAATACTTAATCAGGTTGTCAGGTGAGGAAGTAACAATTTTGAATTAGAATAGTTTATTTATTCCGTTTATTCAGATTATGTTCCTCAATCATTACCCTTGGTCACGTGCTGCTGGCTCTGTTGTCCATATATCATTTGATTTGGAAGATAAAATTTAATTTTTGCAGTTGCTAGT